TGACACCAAATCATCACTCTTTGTTCTATACCATGTCTTTGTGTTTTCTAATGCTTTAGGGAAAAAATGTAAACTTTTTCTTTATACTTTCCCAGAATTAAAAAATCCTCATGTTTCATCTCTATGTAGTTGAACTAATATTTATTCTATTTCCTTGTGGCCTGCAAAAAGTAATAATAACAATAATGTTAATAACTGTCATTTATACAGGGTGTTCCAAAATCCTAGTGCATTTTACAGATGAGGAAACTGAGGCAAACAGGGGGTTAAGTGACATACCCAGGATCACACAACTAGTAAGTATCTAAGGCTGGATTTGAAGGGAGATGAGTCTTCCTCACTCCAAACCCAGCACTCTATCCACTGTACCACTTAGCTGCCCCTACAATCCTATGAGCTAAGCGCTATTATTATTCAAAAAGACCAAATACGAACTTAGGTCTTCCTGACATCAGGCCAGGTGCTCTATCCACTGTACCACCTAGCTGCCCCTAGGAAAAAAAAATTATTATATCATTAAAATGAGCTGGAGAAGGAAATGGCAAACCATTCCAAGATCCAAGATCCAAGTGGAGACATGAAAAGTTGGACACCACTGAAAACAACTCAACAACAACAACAACAACAACAACAATTTTTCTAGGACCAGACTTTTGACTTTCCTTTAACACAACATAGAAAGTATTAGGATGTGCTGTGGCTGTGAGTCTTTATGCTTATATCGTTAATGTCTCTTAAATGCAGATTTATTATGACTTCAGATTCTTTGATTATTTAGATGTAACAATCTTTATTTTCCTGATAAAAACACACAAATAGTATACACATGGAGACTAAATGCTGTGCAGGGAAAGAGCAAGTGAGAGATAAAGTGCAAAAAATATTTCTCCCATTTAAAAAAAAAGTATGAGAAATACTCTTCAGAAAAACAGCTATTTCTGGAGATTGATGTGTATAATTTCAATTTATATAAAATAAAAAACCTCAACACAAATGGTCCTCTTTACTCAATAAATTAACTGCTAGCTGACAGCACTGTTTGTTCTTTGGCATAAACATATTAGGGTCGTCATGCCTGTGGACTGGGTTTTTCTTCTACTTTTATCCTTTGTCTTTTTACTTTCAATGGGGTTGGGCCTTTCCAAACCCTTCTTCCTCCTTCTTTGAGGGCCTTGTCCTGGCTATTAGTTTTTGGAAGTTGTATTTTTAGAGCTCAGAGAATCTGATCAAAGAAATCAGATTATTTATATGATTTCAAAGGGTAATTAACCTTCTTTAATGCTATAGAACATTCAGTGGGGGGAGTCAGATGTTTCAGAATATTAAATCTTACTCTACCAGTTCAAGCATGTGTAACTGAAAGAAACCATTCTACATTCTGCTAAAAAGTCAGCCTACTCAGGAATGGTAATGCACATGAAATATATGAAGGCATTCTTGTTTTAAAGTATCTGTAAACTGAAAACAGAATACAGTTTTATTAAAATAAGAAGTAAAGCATGAATGTCATTCATTACTTTGAGATTATAGAATCTAAAACAATCTTGGCAATTGAACTGAAAGCTGATGTCCACAAAATATCTTTCCACTGATAAACATTTTCTTATTTTCTATACTGTCCAGGCTACTGAAATATGGATTGTAATCTATACTAGTAAAATGGATCACAAATGCTTGTAAGGTCATGGGGTCACAGAAACATTCTTCATAAACAAGTCCTAAAATTTGGAAGTAAATGTATACATGGTACACTTTTTTTCATTGTTTTCCCTAAAGTTGCATGAATATATTTTATTTGACAAATATTTAGTTCTGTTATAAGAATTAAATGGTGATTTTATTTTCATTATTAAAAGTACCACTTGGTACTTTGATAAAATTAGGCTGCAAAGATTTAATGCCCTGCTATATACTTTGAAGTGAAATATCTAAGCCACTTTTTGAGACCTATACCACCATGATTAGCTGCAAGTTGTTTTTTTTCTGCCTTGTATTATTTTGTAAGAAAAATTATTGATTGTCTGTTTCCAGACTTTTAAAAAGTGCAAACCAGTTTAGCCAACTAAGCATGAGATTGGCAGAACTGCTTTACTTAAGATACATTTCACCTGCCAAAAACACAGGTGCACCTTTCAGCAGCTCAAGAATTGTCTAAGCATCAAATTGTGTCTCGGGATTTCTGGTGGCTGGGTAGGAAAGTATATACAATTAATTCTTAGCAAAGGCATTTACTAAGACCACAAAGTAAAAAATAGTGCCCCTATAAACTTGGAGTGTATACTCCCATAAATATATAGCATCCATGGGAAGAGGAACCATAAACTTGGAGTACAATGGTAGAGGAGCAGCCACATTCTGTGATTCTATCAATTTGGCAGATATGGGCAGCAAATCAAATCTCTCCCACCTGTTACATCCAATGCTATTAAAATTTTAGGTACCAAATTAGCAACTGAAAGGATCAACTAAAATACATAAGACCTTTATTTCTCAAAACAAACAAAAAACTTGGTAGATACTAAATCATAATGCATTTTTTTTTTTGCCAGGCAATGGGGTTAAGTGACTTGCCAGGGTCACAGAGCTAGTATGTGTGAACTGTCTGAGGCCAAATTTGAATTCAGGTCCTCCTGAATCCAGGGCTGGTACTCTATCCACTGTGCCACCTAGCTGTCCCTCAGAATGCATTTTTAAAAGGGAGACTTTCTTCTATCAATATAACTCTATTTTATGACTATATTGATACTCAAAAAGTGAAATGTAGAACTATGACAATTTTCTGCACAATTCATTTTGCATTAATTATTTGTATATTGCATATGAAATTTCTTTAAAAATCTGAATTTAGTGAATATCTTTTCCCCCCTTTTTGTGAATATAAACAGTGTTTACTGTAATCAAGTAATAATAATAATCTGCACATACGGCACTTTAAAATCTACAAAGTACTTAAGGCAGGCATTTGAGCCTTACAGTCACCTTATGAGGCAGATATTGTCCCTAAGAAATTGGCTCATGCTTCACACAATTAGTTGGAGTTTTTCTGACTCTGTCTAGTTCATTATCCATTATGCCAGGCTCATCTAGAACTTTCACAACAATCAGAAGTCCCCTTTTCCCACTACCTGAATTTTGGCCTATCTACTTTAAACTAAGCCAAGCCCTTTAATTAAAAATAATTTAGAGACCATGAAACAAAAGCTACATGACACTTTTAGAGATATCTTAATTGGGGTAGCTAGGTGGTGAAGTGGATAGAGCTCCTGCCTTGGAGTCAGGAGGACATGAGTTCAAATTCAGCCTCAGATACTTGATACTAACTGTGCGACCCTGGATAAGTCACTTAACCCTGATTGCCTCACCAAAAAAAAAAAAAAGGCAATTTTAATTACCTTAATCAATATTTTTGGTTCTAATATATGAATTTCTTCAGAGTAGGGAACTCCATTCCCTCCAATTCAGATGGACAATTCTTTTGTAATTTAGAGTCTTACTAAGTTGATTTGGACTCTTAGAGGTTAAGTGACTTGCCTAAGGTCACACAGCTAATATCTGTTAGAGGCTGAATTTGAACCCATGTTTTCCTGAACCCAGGACCAGCTCTCTATACTCACTGTATCGCTCCTTAGTCTATGTCTACCATAAATTTACTGAAGCAAAATATAACAATATTGTTATAGCCAGAAAACTGAATTTGTATTTATCCTTTAAAATTAAGGTATTTGAAATGAATTTTACTGCCCCCCTCCTAAAACCTGAATAGTAAGCAAAGTTTTAAAGAGTCACACACATTGTAAATTGAGGTATTTTCCTATGTTTACTTGAGAGATACCTATTTATTAGTAAGTAATTTATAATCAAATCATTATTAAAATCCTTCTGTCTCCAGTTGATAGTTATCTCCATGGAAATAAATTTTCAACAATAACATAACAAAGAAATAACAAAACAATGGAATTTGATGTTGGAAAAGAATGTACAGATAATGGATACACTTTTATGTGCTTCAAAGCAAAAACTTCAAAGGAGTGTGTGAGCAAGTATGTGTATATGTGTGTTTAAAGTTGATTTAGATTCGTGAGCCTGTTTGCAAGTCCTGTTTTTGCACGCAACTATTAGGGCTGGCACCAGAAAGGTTTCTAAAAACCAGATGATGATACAAATTAGCTACTTTTTATCATTAGTTCATGAGTTCTTCTATAGAAAGTTAATCAATATATTTATTTCCCAAAGAGATTCTTTTGCCAACTGAAAAAAATAAAAAGTAAACATAAGGTGTACAATGTACTAGGTATATCGTACAACATTTTAATAGGATTAATGCCATTTACGTAGGGATAAAGAACGCAAGTAAAATCAAAATTTAATCACATATTAAAAACTACTAAGTGTAATTTGAAATAAAAATGCATTACAACACATGCACCGAAACTTAAAGTATGACCCAAGATAGTGAATACAAGATGTCCCAGAAGTATTACTACAGTTTGAAGCTAAATAAGCTTAGGCTTTGCACATTGCTAGGTGGAAATTGCTAGGTGCACTATAATAACCCTTCTTGAACTGAAGAGAACACAAAGTGCAAGGGAATAAAATAACTGTGTAGAATTTAAAGTGGAAATTTAGAAGACAGCTCCCAATTTTATCAGCTATTTATAGTAAATAATCTTCTAAAATGGTTAAAAGTTATGTGCTTATAAGCTTTCTCAAGCTATAATCTGGTTATGATTATAGACTTTAGTTGGTCAAATTAACTATTAGTTGACTTTACCAGTAAGTCTATTTGTATTTGTTTGTTTTCTATAAAAACTAGACATTTCTTATTCGAAAAAAAATTGGCAGTAACTTTTGATTTGTCTCAATTGTTGTACAGCCAGGTTTTGGGACTTTGAGCTACAACTAGGCAACTTTTCTATCATCTACACAGAGAAGAGGGCATTGTATCATTATTATAAAATCAGGATTACCAGGTTGTCTGTATGTTTGGCTTTTTCTGGCAGGATACTTGTCCATCCTGGGACTGTCCAGAAGAGAAGAAAGCAAAGGCCTAGGACAAAGTGCAACCTCTATTTGGTAAGAGAATTAGAATATACATGTACTAGGCAGGAGTCCAATTAACATTACGTATGCATCTACAAGGACATTGACTCTCCCTTACAAACCAGAGATTACTCAAAGTCAGACTATTTGTGTTGGAAAACAGCACAGAAGCCTTCTCCAAAAGCTGGACTTTTATGTCTTCTCATTGCTGGCATTTGCATTACTCCTCTAATTGGAGAAAAAAAAAATCTTAATTTCGCTCTTTTTCGCTTATTCCTTTCATGGCATTCAGTCACTTAAGGAAAGTGACATGCACACTGCTAGTGCAATATTTTCTTTGGCAAAGCTGGGCCAAACCAAGATGGCAAAGCTTTAGTTTGTCAGTCTCTGAAACTTTGACTAAACCTCAATTCTATTTTGAAGTACAGCTAATAACTTGTAGACTTCTGAATTTCATACTTGCCTATGAAGACAGGTGGCTTTTAAATGTACAAAATCACTTTTATAGCATGCTCCACTTATTTCTATTCTTCTCATTAGTCAGCTTAACAGCATTGCTATGGTCAATTGAAATTGCATGCATTTTATGTGTGTAATTGTGAAGTCAAGAGCAACAAACTTGTAGCAACCTCATTTTACAAATAAGGAAACAGAGGCAATGGGTAAATTCAATTTGATAAGCATTAATTAAACATCTACTATGTGCCAGGCTGTATTGGGCATGCAAGATGAAAACAAAATAATTTGTGACATCAAGGATCTTACATTCTACTGAGGCCTCCCTCAGTAGATGGGGAAGGGACATATAACATATACACAGACCGTTTGAATACAATGCAATGTGAGGAACGAAAGAACAGCAACTTTAAGAGGGATCAGGAAAGGCTTCGTGGAGGAAGTGGCAAGTGAACTTAAACTTGAAAGAACAAAAGAATTCTGAGAGGCAGGGGTGAGGAAGGAATGCATTCCAGAAAGGAAGATAGGGAATGATCTTTTCAAGTATATGGAGTCAAGGAGGCTAAAGACTAAATTCGAGGAATAGTAATAGTTCTGTTTGGCTAGACTGAAGGGTTCATGAAACAGAGATACATAAAATAAGCATGTAAGGGTAGACAGAAGCAGAATTGTGGAGGGCTTTCAATGCTGGGCCGAAGAGCTTATAATTATATTAGAGGTAATAGGGAGCCACTTAAAGTCTTTGAGCAGGGGAATGATGTGGTTAAATCTGTGCCTTAGGAAGATAATTTTTTCAGCTATGTGGAGGATGGAATGAGAAAGGGCAAGGCTGGCAGCAGGAAGACTAATTAGTTGATAGTTGGTGTTAGAAGTTTTTAAGGGGTGGATGTAGAATGAAACCTTGAGCTCTTCAGTATGAGGAGAAGGTACAGGTGCTGCTGAATTTTTTTTCCAGAAGTTCCAGCTTAATACTAATATTAAAACTATTTAAAAATAGCAATAATAATAATAGTGAACATTTATATAGTGTGTTAACATTTGCAAAGTGCTTTACATATGGTACTTCATTTGATCCTCAAAACAACTCTGTAAGATAAGTGCTACTATTATCCCCATTCCACAGACAAGGAAATAAGATGAGAGAGGATAACTGACTTGCTCAGGGTCACACAGTAAGTTAGCTGATGCATAATTGGAGTTAGTCCAGGAAAGAGGTAATGAAGAAATGTGGAGGACCTGAACCAAGGTGGTAGTGGCTTTGTAAGTAGAGAGAAGAGGCCAGGTAAAAGATATGTTATGGGAGTAGAATCTACAAAACTTGGCATGTGGTAGAATGAGTCGAGAAGGAACCTGACATTACAAATCCACTTTGAAACTAGTTTTCAAAGATTATTAGATCCAGGGTTTAGAGAATAGAGGGAAATGGAAGTAGTTTTTTCTTGCTTGTCAATCATTTTGATCACCTTCCTCTATTGCCTACTAACTTAGGGCTTTGCCAAAAATGAGAGGGAAGGGGGGAAGGGAAGGAATGTGGTTGTCATTCTGGGGCAGTTTGCACCGCTTTGAAATCAGCAGAGAGGAAACAGCTGTGGAAAGAAGTCATTTGATCGTCCTCTCCCTGACCCCATGTCAGGTCCTAGTTTTTCCACTCAAAAATTTGCATCGGCCCTGTCCACATCTACCAAAGCTGCCCCAATTCCTCCTCCTTATGTCCTCCTGCTTCCATTTGTCTTTAATTAACAGAAAACAGTACCAACACCTGCCTGAAGTGTATTCCCTACAAATTCCTCCCTTCCCCCAATCTGGGAAAACCAAACAAAAAGGTTTTAGAAGCGGGAAATCAAACTGTGTTCAGTTTATTTCATGCTCATTGCCTGATTTCCTTCAGACCCAGGGCAAAGAAGCTTGTGTTTATTTTCATGGCTGGAATTAAGTAACTTGCCCAAGGTCCCATGGCAGGTGAGCGATGGAGCCAAATTTAGAATTTCCAGCTGCTGAACTCTCAGTCAGTGACCTCGCCCACAGAGCCACGTGGCCCTTCTTCAATAGGTTCCAAAGCACACATTCGTCATGGCAAGAGACATCTCCAAGCATAGCTAGCTCTGTGAACAGGCTTCAGAAAACAGAAAATCTCTGGCAAAAGGCTCACTTTCTAAACCTTGAAACTGAAAAAATCCTAAACATCTATTTCAAGAAATTCCAACCTAAATAACAAAGCATTCAGCCATCTGGAAGTAAACTGGTATTGTCAGTCTCAATAGCAAGAGACAGAATTCAAAGACATGAACAAAACTTAATTCATGATTCCAATTGCTTAAGCTGCTAAGTTATGCTAGAGGCTTGATTGTATTTTACATAAATCAAAGACAGTCCACTTTAAAAATTAACACTATTTCTCATTCTCCAGATCCAAGTTTTCTGTTCAGGCTTGGTAAGAAGTGGATGGAAGTTTTCGTAAAAGTTTTTCAAGTTTTCCAAAGCAACATACTTACCTTAACTGTGGTGTAGCTCACATTTTGCTAACAGCAGAAAACTGATCTTTTGTAATCGGAGATGCATCCTAGGAGATTTCCGTGGTGAATAGATCTTGAAGGTAAACATTTGTTAAAAGGTCAAGATTACACCTTTAAAGCTCAAAAGGATGCTGCTTTAGAAAACAGAGAAAAACCACAAGTGGCCCTCATATGGACAAATACCCTTAGTTTGACATTTGGTGCTTAATATTAATAATAAACCAATAATAATAACCATAGTTCATTTTGTGTAGCATTTTAAGGTTTGCAAAGTATTTTAGTCGTAACTACCCTTTGTACCCTTATGTAGATAACATAAGTATTATTGTCTTCATCTTTTAGATAAGAAAACTGAAGCTCAGTGATTTGGTACCTCACCTAGGAAAACACAGCTTCATGAATAACAAAGCTGATTCAAACCCAGATCTCTTGACTTCAAATTCAGTGCTTTCATTATAGCATGATGCTTCTCTTAGTATATTGCTTATGATCATATTATCTTTTAATTATTTATTTATTTTTAGTTTTCGACATTCCCTTCCATAAGATTTTGAGTTCCAAATTTTCTCATCTTTCTTCCCCTCCCCCTACTCCAAGACGGTATGCAGGCTGATATAGACTCTACATATACATTCATATTAAGCATATTTTCACATTAGTCATGTTGTAAAGAAGAATTACAACCAATGGAAGGAACCACAGGAAAAAAGAAACAAAAAGAAGGGGGCAAATAGTATGCTTTGATCTGCATTCAGACTCCATAGTTCTTTTTCTGGGTATGGATAGCATTTTCCATCATGAGTCTTTTGGAATTGCTTACGATCATATTCTTCAAGAAAATGTTGCTTAGGAATAATTTATCTTCATAACAAATAAAGTGAAAAGGCTTTTGTTTGTTTAACTTTATGTTTAACTACAAATAACCACTGCTTAATGGAATAATTATCTTCCTGAAAAGTTTACTCTTAAATTTTAAGTAAAATCCTATTGTATTTTCCTATTACAAAAATCAAAGATACATTCTTCTTAAAAAGTAGCTTCTGGATATAATTAATTCAGATTTAAAAAGGTTGTAAATCTTCAAAATTATGAGCAGCTATGTGGTCCAGTGGATAAAGCACTGGGCCTGGTGTCAGAAAGACTCATTTCTGAGAGTTCAAATCTGGCCTCATGCACTTACTAGTGGTGCAATCCTAAGCAAGTCACTTCACCCTGTTTGCTTCAGTTTCCTTATCTGTAAAATGAGCTGGAGAAGGAAATGGCAAACCACTCCAGTATCTTTGCCAAAAAACCCCCCAACCCAACCCAAAAGGGTCACAAAGAGTCCAATACTACTAAAAATGACTGAACAACAGCAATTAATATGTTCTTTGAGAATGGATACATAATTTCATCAGTAAGATTCCTTCCTCCAATAGCACAGACCGTAATTCCTTTACTCTTCACTTAATAGATTGTCTTCTTAAGTTGCTATAACCAAAAATTTGATATCTTTGTTGCCAACTTGGTAATAAGGCTCTATGAATTTGGTTAGTGTGGCTTTCAGATGAGAGACAAAAAGTCAGTCGTCTGGCTTTTAATTGAAGTCTTCTTAGATTTGCAGAAACTGTCTGAGCTGGTGTTACATTAGCTTAGCCTTTGAAAATTTAAGGTTATCTCTTCATCACAAAGAGGAATCTCATAATATCTGTTAAGTGAGGAGTATTTTTAGTTTTAGCTAGTCAACTAAAAAATGGCCTCCTGTCTATGACTTCCTCTCCATTTATATAATTGTTATTGTTATTCAGTCATGTCCTATTCTTTATGACCCCATTTGGGGCTTTCTTGGCAAAGATACTGGAATGGTTTGCCGTTTCTTTCTCTAGCTCATTTTACAGATGAGAAAACTGAGGCAAAGAGGGTAAAGTGACTTGTCCAGGGTCACACTGCTAATAAGTGTCTGAGGCTGGATTTGAACTCAGATCTTCCTTACTCTAGGCCCAGACTCTATCCACTGTACCACCTAGCTGACTCCATTTACATAATATCCACAGTACAGATATAATCCACTGTCTAGCACTCTAA